TTGTTCAATTTTAAATAAAGATTGGAGAAGGCACGTTCAAAGATGTTAAAGCTAATTTGCGGTGTGAACAAGACAGAGCGAGGAGGTACATCTGAGAGATGACCCTTCACCCTCACTGATGACGTTAGCCCAGAACAATAGCTTCTGTTGAACCAAGCTACACAGCTCTCTGATGAGCCAGGATCTTATCTATTAGTGCTTCCAAGCAAGATGCAGTTATCTACTGAAGCAAATGCCTTTTGCTGAGTCAACAAAAACAGCTGCACAGTTTTCATTTTTTTATCAGTGGCATAAACAACCTCAAGTCTCACTTTACCCAGTGCTGTTTTAGAGTGAAATTGTAGCATTTTTGCTGKGATTTGACCATTGTGTACACAACAACCACACTTAGATCCAGGTCTGGTACTGGAATAGAGTGGTAGTTTTTGGAGACCCCTGCAGAGGTGTGAAATTGTTYGTGCACACTACATGTGTGGCTGACGTTTTTGCACCTGTGCTATGTGCCTAACCTGGTATTGTTGTTGAACTTCTTGCAGAGGGCTGTTTGTGTTACTCACCCTTTTCAGTGCGAACCAACCTCATCCTCATTCCAGGCAACTGTTTATGTATTCACTTTTTTGGATGCAACTTCAGAGCAGTTGTAAAATCAAGTTTTTACTGTCAGACACAGCTGGCTAAAGTGAAGCCAATTCTTTCTCAGCAACATTTTAAAACAGTAGTCCATGGTTTTGTTACCACTCGGCTGGACTACTGTAACACACTTTATACTGGCATCAGTGATTCCTGTATCTCAGCTTCAGAGGGTGCAGAATGCCGCTGCGCGTCTTTTAACTGGCACATCAAAGTTGGATCATATCGCTTCCCTGCACTGGCTGCCTGTACATTTTAGGTTTCATTTTAAAGTTTTATTATTTGCTTTTAAAGCTCTTAATGGTCTTGCTCTGCTCTATTTGTCCGAACTGCTACATCATTACAAACCCTCTCGATCCCTCACGTCAGCTGATCAGCTGCTCTTGACTAAGACAAAGCGTGAGCTCAGAGGAGGCCGTGCTTTTACTGTGGCAGCTCCTAAATTATGGAATGACCTTCCTGTCTGTTTTTAAATCCCTTCTTAAAACCCATCTCTTCTCTGGCCTTTGAACACCCAATTGTAATGTTACTGATTGAATGAGTAAATTAATGTTTTATTATGCAACGTTTCCCCTAAAAT